GTCTGCACTGTGGGTGGGGCTGTCTGCACTGGGTGGGGATGTCTGTGCACTATGAGTGGGTCTGTCTGTGCACTGTGGGTGGGGCTGTCTGCACTGTGGGCAGAGCTGTCTGTACTGTGGGCGGGGCTGTCTGTGCACTATGGGCAGGCTGTCTGCACTGGGTGGGGCTGTCTATGCACTGTGGGTGGGGCTGTCTGCACTGTGGGCAGGGCTGTGAGATGCACTGTGGGGTGCTCTTGGCAGTGTCCCTGGTCCACTCACCAGATGCCAGAAGTGTCCCCCACCCTAGTTGTGACAAAAATGACTCCAGACGTTCCCAGTACCTCCTGCGGGTAAACACTGTCCCCACTGAGGGCCCCACCAGTGTCCTACCTGTATGATAAAGGCATGCAGCCCGTGGCACTGGCCCCCCGGCACGTACAGCTGAGCAAACACCACCGCGTGAGTGGCTGTCTTGCCCATGTTGCCAATCCAAAACTTGGCAGCTTCGAAATCAGGGGAATGTATGATGAATTCCTGCACAAGGAAAAAGGTGAGTTATCATTACCAACTGAAGAACATGCAGAATTGGTGCTTTTCCTTTTAGACTGGTTCCATTTTCTATGTTCAAAATCTCTGAGGCAAGAGTCCAAACTGATTGCACACTTCAGTTCCTGTATGGCACAGGCAGGCCTATTTTTTAAACAGGGCCTATCCCTGGGCCTTATAACTTAAAGAGCCTTCAGATGCAAAATTTTCCGTAGGCTGGCAAATGCTTCAGGGGAGTGTCCATTATCATGAACAGTCTTCTGTCCCTGACCATGCCCTGTAGGTGGAAACCCTGCTCTACTATCCGCCCAGTCCTTTCCCGACCTCTAATTCACAACCCACTGCTGCCCTCTTGCTGTCTCTCCCATCCACAGCTCCATGACTGACAGTTAAGATGCCAAACACCCAGAGCACAAGGCAGCCGCTCAGAACATTGGGAGGAAGGAATGAACGCATGCATGAACTAGCGGATAAGCTGTGGCATCACGGGGTTCATTGTGTGGCTAGAAGGGTGTGGACAGAAACCCCAGAAACACGGCGGGTGCTGCATGGGTCAGGAGCGAAGAGCAGGCGGGAAAGGGCAGGAGCTGGGCTGCTGGGCTGGGCCTGCCTGAGGGGCGTCTGCTGGGAGGCCTGTGAGTAGGGCTGGGAGGCAGGATGCGGACCAGCAGGACTGTGTAACATGGCTGGGATTTGCAAGGGGACAAAGACGAGCACCTTCAGGCAGACAGCCCGCAGGTGGCCCATCAAGCCCTGGGCCGCCTCGGGAGACAGTGATCCCCAGCCTCCACGCAGGGCTGGCCAGTCAGTGCCAGGGGCTGGCTGTCGGGGTAAGTTTGGCTCTGGTTCCCGACCCTGCAGGGTGGGAAGCTACAAAACAACACGCCAGGGAGGGCTTCCTTCTGTCTGGCCAGTGGGATTTTGTAAACTGAGAGTAGTGAATTCTTCAGATGCTGAAGTTTCACTGAGAAGTGGCAGGTGGCTCTCTTCTCTCAGGGACCACCAGCTCATCACCTGCCAGGGTGAGGGGGCTCCCAGTCTCAGCCAGGCTCTCCCCACTCACTCTTCAGCACGTAGCAGTTTCAGTACCTCCAGCCGTCACTCATTCTCTGCAGTGCAGACGTGCATGCTCACAACACCAGCCCAAGCCAGATCGTCAGGGCCTGCGCTGCTCTGCACCGATCTTCCTCACCGTCTCAGCTGTCTGCCTGCCTCCGGGTGCCCCGTCATGCTGGCCTTGCTCTCTGGGGGGCCTCCAGGGTGCCCAGCACACCTCACTTCTCCCATTGGTGTCTGCGTCCGCCCCCCCCCCCGGCCCCTGCCACAACTTCAGGACAGCAGAGACCGGTCTGCTGTGCTCACTGCTTCCTGCCCAGCCTCAGAAAGCTGTGCCTCACACACAGCAGGTACCCAGCAATGCCTGCTGTCCAAGGATCCCAGGCACCCCAACTCCATGGATCTGATGCCATGCTCTGACCTCCGCTCAGGGCTCGAAAGCCAGGAGGAAGGAGGTGGAAAAAGGAACTGCTCCTCTGATGCCCCGAGGAGCATCCAAGGCCACCTGGGTGCTGTCCTCTGTCTGCTTATCAGAAAGGGTCCCCACCTCCCGGCACTGCAGGCCACAGGCACAGAGGGCAGTGGGAGGAGAGGCAGCCATGGTGCCAGAAAGACCTGGGTTCAGATAAAGACCTGTGTGGGTAACCCCCCATATAGGCACTGAGGACTGAGAGCTAAGCAGAACCCTGGCACAGTTAGGGCTTGAGGAATATCTCACTTTATGCTGTTACTACTCAGCTATTTCTTTTTATATAATCCTTTACATAATCATATATTAGTTTATAGAATCAGGACTTGAAGAATCCCTTTATATAATCCTCTATATATAATCATATAATAGTTGATAGTATGAGAGCCTAAAGAATATTTCCCTACATATACACCTATAATTATATCTTAGTTCATAACCGGAGGAATGCATAGATTGGACACACTACAGAGCATGAATTAAGGAATAAGCAGCTTATAATCGGAGGAATGCCTGGAGCGGACACAGTGCAGAGCATGATTTAAGGGAAAACAGTTACACCAGGACAAGAATCCATGGCCCAGGCGGCAGCGTTCAGTATCGTAAAGATACCCGCTGGATGGCAGGCTTGGGGCGAGAGCCACTCCTCCTGATCAAGGAGTTGTAGGACCTTGCTCCCGTTCTTGTGGAAGGCCGCCCTCAGAACGGCAATCCACCTTGGTGACTATGACCTTTATCAGCTCTTGCTACTGTGCTACTTGAAAAGCATCTTCCCATAGAATCCACTGGAAGCTGCCAGAAGGTGGCGGTAACCTTGACAGCTCTGTCACTGCTGTGTGACTTAAAGCATCCTCCCATAAATCTTCTTAGAAGTAGTTTTCCATAGACAGAAGTATCGCACACTGCACCCTCTTCACCTCGCACGGCCCACCTTCAAGCCTCGGTGACCTAATGGGGGTGGACCCTATGTTTTATTGCTCATGACCCTATCACTATCCTTAAAGATGATTTCACTCACTGCCCTGCCCCCTAACCTATACACAATAAATACTCATGCTTCCGGACATGCAGGGCCTCGCCAGCCTTGCCTCGCCGGCCTTGCCTGACTGCTTATAGGTGGCGTGGCCCCCCGAGCCCAGCTGCATTTTCTTTGTACTTCTGTGTCCTGTCTCTTTATTTCTCGGATCCTGCACCTTAGCACAGCATAAAGCTCACCCCACAACCCTGTGGGGCACTCAGCCCTACATCTGGCTCCCGACGTGCCCTACAGACCTGGCTTAAAAAAAAAAATCCCAAGAGAGCCTCATGCCCCACTCTGAGCAGGCGCCTTGGCCTCACTCCCAAAGCCCCACAGCAGGAGTGCGCCGTGCAAGGACCACCTCTCATCCCTGCCCTGGCCGGGGTCCGCCTGGGTTCATTATTGGGCTCTTCCACGCGGTACCCCAGGCAGAGTCCACATTCAGCCCATGCTGTGGAATGAATGGGTGGATGAGCCTTGAGCACACCCACAGGTGTAGAGCTTTACTTCCTGCCTCACCACGCTCCTCTCCATGACCACTGCCAAAGGGGCAGGGTGGAAGGTGGGTGAGGAAGGACTGGCAAGGGACCTGGGCCTCAGGGACAAGTGGAGGCCAAGGAGAGTGACGTGGTGGCAGGGGGGCAGGAGCAGGGGATCAAAGCAAGGCGGTGGGGGCCCTCCCCAACTGCCCTCCTTGCCCTGGTCCCTTCACAGTACTGACAGCCCTGGGACATCCATCTGTGGCCCGTCTCCCTCACCACGCCGGAAGCTCCCAACAGCGCCTGCCCCAGGCAGCAGTCACAATGCAGGTCCCAGAGAGATCAAGAGGATGGCGAAGGCCGAGCCAGACCATGATGGCAGGAATGGACAAGGCAGGCTGTTCACAGAGCGACAGCCACAAAGGGCAGACGGCAGGGAGCGAGAGTCTCCACAGGGGCCCCCTGCAGAAACCACGGGTGACATGAATGGTTTATGAATCCACTACAATAGGCCGCCAGGTAAACAAGGCAATCAACTTTACAGAACGAGGGCTTCCCCACTGCACTCAAAGGACACACGAATCCAAACCATCATGAGTTCCCCATCAAGTCACGGCAGGCACAGGTTTGGCCCTCCCATGCCTGGTCTCCCAAGCCCCGCTTTTCAGCGTCGTGAATCTGCGTGGATTCCTACGCTGTGCATGTGGACCGGCCTCTTGGTTTAGTTATTTTCTTATTCCTGGCAGCTGCATTTGCACTCATGAGGTTTCATACGCTCTACACCCTGGGACCGAGGGAAGGGAGCACCTACCTCAGTGGCAGGGTTGTAGTGGGCAGTCGTGCGGATGGCCTTGGCGTTACTGCCGTGGCTTAATTCGGTCAGAGCAAAACATCCGAAGATCTAAACGTCAAAGCACAAAATGATGGAAAGCACGAAAAGTTTTTTGTGCACATTCCCGGGCGACCCTGCTGCCATCTTTTCTTCAAGGACGAACCGTGGATCAAAATCCCAAACTTCCAGCTACCCAGCTAGTGACTTGACTGAGTCATTCTGCCAGGCGTGGCTGGTCACCACAGCGGGCTAACCCGAGCTGGCCGCAGCCATGCCAAGCCAGCAAGGCGGCGGGAACTGCTCGTCAGGAGAAGACAGTGGAAGCCCTGGACAGGTGGGCTGGTGCCAGCAAGCCGATGGCGCCTGTGCTTGCTAAAGAGCGTGCGTGCTAGCTATCTGGTGAGACGCCTGCAAACACTGGGAAACAAGAAGAGTGTGGGACCCCCGGGGACCCCTCCTGCGATCTTCCCTTTTCACAAATCTCTACAGAGACGGGGCAAGAGAACTGGGCTCGTGACTCACCAGGAGCCGGAACTTACCTCCATACTGAAGATCTTTTGAATGTAGGCAAAGTGTCTTTCAGAACCAGAACTGAACACCGCCGATCCAAAAACCTGAAAGTATAACATCGTCCGCTGAACACGGGCAGGTGAGAAGAGAACTGCTCTTGTGGAATCCCATGCCCACGCCAGCTCCCCACCACGCTGAGCTTCCCCGAGGTGGAGGATGAAGCTCCGGGAGGTTAGCCAGCAGCCCGACACCAGAGGCTAGGGTCTCCCCACACGTGACTGCCCCAGGGCTCCGAGTTCCTGTGAGCAGTAAGACCTGCGTCCCGGCTGGGCATGGTGGCTGACGCCTGTAATCCAAACACTTTGGAGGCCAAGGCGGGCGGATCACCTGAGGTCGGGAGCTCAAGACCAGCCTGACCAACATGGTGAAACCCCATCTTTAAAAAAGAAAAAAAAAAAAAAGACCTGCTTGCCTGTGCGAAGCAGTCCGCATAAGTCACACAGAATCCCCTGGGACTTAAGATGAGTGCAAGGAGTCCTGAGGGTCTGAGGGCAGCGGCGACAGGACAGGAAGGTGTGTGGAGAGCAGAGCCCACCGGCCCATCAGACCGTGCAGGCACAGAAGGGCAAGGCCACCGTGCCCAAGCCCAGCTCTGCTGGTATGTTCCAAAGGCAGGAAAACACAGGTTTCTCCTTTTGGCCTATTTTTTTTTAATCATTTATCTCTTTTTCTGTATGAAGAAAAAAAAAGTCCACCAGTGCCTCCTCTGATGGGACTTGAAGCTTCACCATACTATTTTATTTGAGGACTTAGTGTGTAAATTTGCAAATACGTGATGGCGGATGCACTGTAAAAGAATAATGAAAAAGGAGACTAAGAAATTTTTTAAGAACATTTAAAAAGAGAATTTCAAAAATTTGCAAATATAGCTGGAAAAACTGGTTTCTCTGCCTTCTGGTTGGCCCTGGGCCCGGCCTCCCTCCAGGCTCCGCGCAGCGGGAAAGCTCCGTGGCCCTCTCCCCTCAGCCACGCGCTCACCAAGGTATGAAGGAGGTACTTGGCAGCCAGGGACCAGTCATACATCCCCAGGCACTGAGTCAAGGTGGAGACTTTCAGCGGGTTCTCGAACATGCCTCCCACACTGAGGAAGTCATACTCGAAGATCCGCTTGCATCGGAGGAAGTTCAGCTCACGGTACTTCTCCAAGGACAGATGGGCTCCAGGGGAACGGGCGAAAAGAGGGTCATTCTCAAGAGCTGAGTAGATGGTTTTCTGAAAACGCAGGAGACAGAGATGGCGCATTTGGAGGCAAAGATGGAATCTCCACGTGCTCTTATAAAGTTTTTCTCCAGGCCACAGGCTTCATAGGACATAATCTGACCCAGAGACACCCAGACAGAAATATGAATGTCCTCCCCAACGGATGAGAGGGCTGGAGGCTTAGGAAGCATCAACAGTCCATGCTCACTGGCAGACTCCTCCTCAATTCCCTGAGGCCTGCCCTGGTGTGCAAGGAGGAGACAGCCCGTGCTGCGCGGGGTGAGCCTCACCCGGCAGAGGAGGAGCTCAGAAGCCAGAAACCCCACTTTGCCAATGAACTGAGACCCCACTGGGAAACCGGCCGAGCCGCGTGCACCTGTACACCTCACCTTAAAGCGGAGCATGTCCTCGCCTTCCGCGAACAGCGCCAGCTCCTTCCAGCTGAAGGACGCTCTTGCTCGATAGGTGTCGAGGGGTCCCCTGGGAAATTCTGGGAGCAGGGCTGCGTCACGTCCTTCCCCGGGGGGCGCCATCGCGTGACGACAGTCTGCACAAAACATACGACCTGAACCTTTGCGCTGCCGTCTATGGATCCAAGTCATCCCCACCAACAGGCGCGCCAGCAACACCTTACAAATCAGGGAAAAGCAAACTCCAATTCCAAAAGGGCGGCAAAGAGAATCACCCTGTGAAGAGCTAGCATCATTTTCCCAAAAGAAAAGGTGAGGAGAAATCCCCTCATCCACTGCTTAGCACAGACGCCAAGAAGGCAGCAGAGAGCCAGGCGCAGTCTGGGGGTCAGCAGGCACACAGTGCAGAGGGTTCGTTGGAGGCCTTGTTCTCTGTCGCCACAGCCTTGCTTGAGAGCACCCTGCCCTCTTGGGGGCACCTGGACATCCAGACCCATCCCCAAGGCTCACTAAACCCAGGGTCAGGAAGCATTACCTTCTGGAATCCAGCCAGCGCCAGCCAGTCCACTCTGGCCACACACGATGGCACCTCACATCCCCACCCACCGCCGGTCCACCTGGACATCTGATCGCAGGCTTCTACACTGGTTTCTCCTCAACGTATAGACACCTAGCTTCCCACTAACACAGCTGGCCTCCCAAAACTCAGCTCTCTTCAAGAAAGAACTGTTCTGGAATTTTCTGGATAGACTGGGTACTTTTCCCAGCGGCTTGGCTGGTGAACCCCGGCCTGCCTGAGTCCTGGGTGCGGGCCCCCCAGCTGAGCTCTTTCAGGCCTAGAGGAAAGAGAAACTTTTGAGTCCGTTGAATTGAACCGGGAAACAGTCTGCGGTGCTGGAGCCTGAGTCTGATTGCTCGGGATGCCGACTGCCCAGGATGCTGACTGCCCTCTGTGCTGGGGTGGGAACCGCAGGTCTGAGCACCTGCTGGTGGGCGGGGGCAGGAACCCTGCCCTCTATAGTTGTATCTTATTTTGTCCTCCCAACAGCTGTGAGCCAAGTACTATGAGCCCCCACCCCCACCCAAAGATGGAGAAACAGAAGCTCAGAGAAGCTGTCTTTCCAAACCCCCTCCGCTGAGAAGTGGGGAGAGGAGCTCCAAGCCCAGCAATGTCTAATCTCAGAGTCACGCCTTTCCAGTACCACTTAGACACTGGAAAGGAAGCACAAAGTACACTTCAATTATTTCCTTCCTTCTTTAAGTAGATGGAAAAAAATAATAAAAGATTAGAGCCACTGTGAATGGACTAGAAGAGAGAAAAAAATCAAGAAAAGTTAAAGTTGGTTCTTTGCAAAGACTGACACAACTGGCAAACATCTAGCTAGAGTGACCGATTAAAAGGGAGAAACCACAAATTCCTCATTGGGAATCAAAGACGGGACATTATCACTGATCTTAAAGAAATAAAAAGGATTTTAAGGGAATATTGTGAACCACAGTACGCCAGCAAATTACACGAAATGGTCAGATTCCTAGGAAGACACAGCCACCAAAACTGCCTCAAGAGAAACTGAAAGTCAGAACAGATCTATAATGACTGAAGAGACTGAATCAGCGATCAATAAACTGTCCATGAAGGAAAACCAGAGGGTTTCAATTGTGAATTCTGTCCAACATTTAAAGAAGAATATCAGTTATTCAAGCTCTTACCAAAAGCAGAAAAACACACTTCCCAGCTCACTCTACGAGGCCAGTATTGCCTTGACACCCAAACCAGACAAAGACATCACAAGAAAGCTAGGGAAGAGCATCTCTTGTGATGCAGATGCAAAACACGAATGAAATTTTGCAAACCGAATCCGGCAACATATTAAAAAAAAGATTATATATAATGACAAAGTGGGATTTATCCTGGGAATGCATGGTGATTCAACATTTGAAAATCGATTAATCTAAGACACCATACCAATAGGAAAAAGATACATGAAAACTATATAATTTCGCCAATAGAGAGAGAAAAAACATTTGACAAAATCCAACCCTCTGTCATGATAAAAACTCTCAACAAACTCAGAACTGAAGGGACCTTCATCACCCCCGTAAAGGGCATCTACAAAAACCCACAGTGATCATCACGCTTAAATACAAAAGGCTGGATCTCTTTCCGCAAAGATCAGTAATAAGACAAGGATGCGCACTCTGCCTCGTCCTTGCGGTGTTGTTGTTGTTGGTTTTGTTTTATTGAGACAGAGGCTCACTTTGTCCTTCAGGCGAGGGCACAATCTCGGTGGTACAGTCCCGACTCACTGCAACCTCTGCCTCCCGGGTTCAAGCGATTCTCCTGCCTCAGCTTCCCAAGTAGCTGGGATTACAGGCATGCACCAACACACCCGGCTGATTTTTGTATTTTTAGTAGAGACAGGGTTTTGCCATATTGGCCAGGCTGGTCTCGAACCCCTGACATCAAGTGATCTGCCCACCTCAACCTCCCAAAGTGCTGGGATTACAGGCGTGAGCCACCACACCCAGCTAACTCTACCTCTTCTATTCAACATTGTACTGGGGGTTCTAGCCAGGGCAGTTACACACACACAAACACACACACACACACGCGCACACACACACAAAAGGCATCCTGACTAGAAAACTATTTCTATTTGCAAATGACATGATCTTGTATATCCTAAGAAAATCCTAAGGAATCCATCAAAAAACTATTAGAACTAATAAATTAGTTCAGTGAGTCAGCAAGGTACAAGATAACACACAAAACTCAATTGTATTTCCATACACGGGCAATGAACAACTCAAAAATGAAATGGAGAAAACAATTCCACTGGCAACAGCATCAAAAAATTAAAACATTTAGAAATAAATTCCACAAAAGAACTATAAGACTTACACTCTGAAAGCTAAAAAAAAAAAAAAAAAAAAGTTGAAAGAAATTAAATATCTAAATGTAAACACAGAAAGACATCCATATTGATGATCAGAAGATTTAGTATTATTAAAATAGCAGTACTCAGATTGAATGGAATTCCAGTCAAAATCCCAGCTGGTTTTTTTTTTTCAAAAATTGAAAAACTGATCCTAATATTCATACGGCAATTGAAGGAGCTCAGAATACACAAAACACTCTTGAAAAAGAACAAAGTTGGAAGGTTCACACTTCCTGATTTCAAAAGTCACTACAAAGTTACAGTAAAAAGACATGATGGTGCCAACATAAAAACAGACACATTCAGATCATTGGACTAGAAATGCGAATCCAGCAATAAAGCCTCACATGTAGGACAAGGGTGCAAGATAACTCAGTGGAGAAAGAAGAGCCTTCCCAACAAATGGTGTTGGTTGGGGCAGCTGTATATCCACATGCATATGAATGGAGTTGGACTGCGTTTACACACACACACACACACGCTCAAAACAGGTCACAGACCTAAATGTAAGAGGTAAAACTATAATACCCAGAAGAAAATATGGGAGTAAATCTTTGTAATCTTAGTTTAGGCAAATCCTTCTTGATATGATATCAAAAGCATAGGTACAAAGGACACTATCAAGAATCTTAAGACTTAGGCCAGGCGCGGTGGCTCACACCTCTAACCCCAGTACTTTAAGAGGCCTAGGCACGTGGATCACCTGAGATCAGGAGTTCAAGACCAGCTTCGCAAACATGGTAAAACCCCATATCTGCTAAAAATACAAAATTACCCAGGCAGGGTGGTGCATGCCTATGATCCCAGCTACTTGGGAGCCTGAGGCAGGAGAACAGCATGAACCCAGGGGGCGTAAGTTGCAGTAAGCCAAGACTGCACACTGCACTGCAGCCTAGGTGACAGAGTGAGACTCCATCTCAACATAAATAAATAAATCTTAAGAATAGTAAAAAGACAAATAACCCAATTAAAAAATGGGCAAAGGGTTCAAACGTACATTTCTCCAAAGACATACAAATGGCCAAAAAAACACGGGAAAGGCCAGGCACGGTGGCAGACGCCTGTAATTCCAGCACTTTGGGAGGCCAAGACGGGCGGATCACCTGAGGTCAGGAGTTTGAGACCAGCCTGGCCAACATGATGAAACCCCATCTCTACTAAAAATACAAAAATTAGCTGGGCATGGTGGCAGGCGCCTGTAATCCCAGCTACTCGGGAGGCTGAGACAGGAGAAACGCTTGAACCCAGTAGGCGGAGGCTGCAGTGAGCCGAGATCGTGCCATTGTACTCCAGCCTGGGCAACGAGAGAGAAACTCCATCTCAGAGAAAAAACAAACACACACAGGAAAATACGGTTAACATCATTAGCCATCAGGGAAATGCAAACCAAAAACCCAATGAGAGACCACTTCATATCCGCTAGGATGGCAATGAGCCAAAAGATATTAAAAGCCGGCTATAGTGGTACATGCCTGTAGTCCCAGCTACTCTGGGGAGGCTGAGGCAGGAGAACAGCTTGAGCCCAGGAGTTTGAGACCAGCCTGGGCTGAGGAAGAAGATCCAGGCATCTGGGATTCCCTCCCGCTCTGTCATCCCCTGTGCATCAATAGAAGAGAGAGCAGGCCAGCTGGTGCCTCCTGAATCTCCTTCCTGCAAATAACAGGCTTGGTCTCGGGGAAATTCTCTGAAAGGCACTATTTTTACTTAAAACAAGATCAAACCAAAACCTTTTCACATGTGAGTCCTAAAGCTGTAAACCGGGACCCTTTCATATGTGATTCCTAAAACTGTAAACAGAGACCTTTTCATATGTGAGTCCTAAAACTATAAACCGGAACCCTTTCATATGTGATTCCTGAAGTTGTAAACTGAAACTCTTTTCACATGTGATTTCTAAAGCTATAAACCGAAGATTCTTCCACGTGTAACATCTAAAGTATAAGCCTACATAAAGGCAGAACCTTCCTTTGTTAGGCGAGCTGAATTTGGACAAATCATTGCCTTAGCTCCCGGCTGCAATAAACTCTTTCCTCCTGTATTCGGTGTTCCAGAGATCCATTTCCCACAGCCGCTCCTGCTACAGGGTGCCACAGAAAGACCCTATTTCTCAAGAACACTGATAAGTAATCACAAGTATTGAGAGGATGAGGAGAAATCAGACTCTCACGCACTTCCAGTGAAAATGTAAAGTAAGCCAGCCATTCTGGAAAACGGTGCGGCAGTTCCACAAGCGATTAAACATACCGACGACATGACCCAGCAATTCCACTCTGAGGTATGTCCTCAATGTGTGGAGGGTCCCCAGTCCACATCTCCAGACTCATGAGCTTATTTGACAGTCAACTGCACACTCCCCACCTCTTACCTTCTGAAGATCTTCAAACTGAGTCCCAACACTGAATCCAGCCTCTCAGCCCTGACCTGCGGCCCACTTCCACACTGCCAGTGGCACAAGGATTACTCGAGCCACAAACCCCAATGTCATGCTGGAATTCCCCTCCCCCTCATTCGCCACAGCCCAGTAAACTACCAAGCCCACAGTGCATCTCTAACTCCTTACAGAATCTTCTCATTTCTCTCCACCCCATAATCCCTTCATAACAACCTCCAGTGACTGAGCTTGTACTGCGTGCAGGTGACTGTGTTAAGCAGCTACAGGACCTCAGTGGTGCCCACCAAGCCCAAGTACCATCAGTAGCCCCCTCTTCCAGGTGAGGAAACGGGAGCTTCTTAGAGAAACTGACCACAGCTGGCTCCAAATCCCCAGATCCTAACCAGTACCTATGGGCCCATGCCACTCAAAGTCACCAACCTTACAGCATTATGGTACAGCTTTTACACATAAGGCTTGTGAAGCCAGACTGGGTTCAAATCCCAACGTTACAGCTTCCTAGCTGGGCGACCTTCCCACGGTCTGTGCGCCTCGGGGGTGATAATACACTGACGCCTGGTCAGTGCCTAGGGACTACTGTCTGGGCTGCTGTCATCCAGATACGGTGACGCCTGGCTAGTGCACAGGGTCTAACGTCTAGGCTGCTGTCATCCACAGGAGACGCTCGCTTCAGATTCTGGCATGGAAGTGGGGACTTCAAGATCACTATTCCGGCAACAGCCACCTGCAGTCTTCTCTGCGGTGTGGATCACTCTCCCTTCCATGAACAGCTGCCCAGTGACCTCAGGGGACAACATGCAAAGTCCTCCAAACGCCCGGCACGCGGGCCACCGGCCTCCCGGCTCCTGCTCTGGGCAACCCCACCCCCGCCGCCCGCGAATCCGCACAGCCCAGGCGCCCCCGGGTCACGCGCGATGCCCCCCACCCCGCTCCCGCCCCGCCACCTCCACTTTACAGCCTGCCGGTCCCCGCGGCGCCACACCGCCCAACTCACGCAGCAGGCGCTCACGGGATGCCTGTCGGCCCGCCGCCGACCCGGGAGGGCGAGGACTAGCTGCCAGCTACGCCAAGCTATCCAGGCCCCGGCCGGCCGCCCGACCCGCGCCGCCCGACCCGCGCCGCCTCTGGGCCTCCTTCCGTCTCGTGGGCGGGGCCCGAGCCGGGGGCGCCCTGACGTCATCGCTCCGCGCCACCCCGGCCGTCCAGGAAACGTGGTCGAAGCTGCTGTCCGGGCCGGAGCCGGGAAGCTTGGCCCAGGCGCTCCCCGGCGCCCTCGGCTTCTCTGCCTTCAGGCCCAGCCTGTCTGACCGGCTCTGGCGAGTGGCTGCTCTCTCGGGGTGCCGTAGTTCTGAGATACAGTTCACACCGCGGCCCTTCCTGGGGCCCACTCCAAGGCTGCTGGATCAGGACCCCCAGGCTGGGGCCGGGCATTTTCGGATTTATCAGCAGGCCCTACGTGGTGGCTCACGCCTGTAATCCCAGCGCTTTCAGAGGCCGAGGCGGGAAGATCGCCTGAGGTCAGGAGTTCGAGAGCAGCCTGGGCAGCACAGCAAGACTCGGTGTGCCCAAGAGCCTGCTGAAGTTTGAGAATCATGGTTCTACGGAGTTCCTCAGAGAGCCCCTCGTGGAAGTGGGCCCTCGTTGCGCGGCTCAATTACCCACCCTTTACTTGCTTTTCTTTGTCCCACAGTTTCCACTTCCTCACTCCTGCACCCCGAGATCAGCTCCATAATCAATTACCTGCACCCAAATTCTTGTCTCAGGGTCTGTTTGGGGAGGTCTAATCTAAGACACACACCTATGAAATTTACAGAGACAGCATCAACTGGACTTAGCAATTCGCCATGTAAAGAATAAGGAAGAAGCAGGCGTTGTGCTCCGTGGTTCTCACCTGTAGTCCCAACTACTCGTGAGGCCGAGGGGGGACAATCACTTGAGCCAAGGAGTTTGAGTCTAGCTTGGGCAACATAGTGAGACTGTTTAAAAAAAAAAAAAGGCGGGGGGGTCAGGCGCGGTGGCTCAAACATGTAATCCCAGCACTTTGGGAGGCCAAGACCGGCAGATCACAAGGTCAGGAGTTCAAGACCTGCCTGACCAACTTGGTGAAACCCCGTCTCCACTAAAAATACAAAAATTAGCTGGGCATGGTGGTGCTTGCCTGTAATCCCAGCTACTCTGGAGGCTGAGGCAGAAGAATCACTTGAACCTGGGAGGCAGAGGTTGCAGTGAGCCGATATTGTGCCACTGCACTCCAGCCTGGGTGACAGAGCAAGACTCTGTCTAAAAAAAAAAAAGCGGGGGGGGGAAGCAGAACAAGGAAAAATATATCAGAAGGTTTGCTGTAGGGCCTAGCCCTACAGGGTCCTGTGAGCCCCTCTCTACATGTGTGGAGACGGGAAACTGTGGAAATAAAAGACCCAAGACACCAAGAAAAAGAAAATAGAGTTTGGGCCCAGGGGTCCACTGCCAACTAAAGTGCGGAGTCTGGCAGCGGCCCCCAGTGTCTGCACCCTCTGACTTTTATTGTGTACAAAGCTGGAGGCAGGGTAGGGTAGGTAGGGCGAGGCATTGGTGATCAGTGATACGATCAAGTATATCACGTATCATAGGGATGGTGGCCCAGGACTTGAAGTAGCCAAGATAAGGTAAGGAGCATAATGCGTCAGCACTTTTTCCATACTTGCCAAGAAAGGACAAAGACAATTAGATTTACGTTACTTTTACTGATTATATCTTCCAAGAAAAAGGAACCAGGTGCAGAAGCGGAACATGAGAGTGGACATGGAACATGACCACTGAAGCACAGCATCACATAGAGACAGTTAAGCCCCCGGATGTCTGCAGGCCTCCCTGACAGCGTCAGGCCTTCCTCAAGAGCTTGGAGGAGTGTTCTCCAAACTCCTCCGGGGAAGAAGGCATCTTGGCCGTCTCCTTCCACAGCTGGCTAAATAGCGGGCACTTTCCCAGTGCTGGTGCTGCTGCACAGCCAAGGCGCCCTCCAGCAGCCCTTACACAGGCGTGAGAGGGCTTAGAGCATCTTGCCTTAGAGTCACTTCTTTCACAATACCACCTTAGGTTCATACTTTGTGACCTGACAGGCATAAGTAAAAGATTATGCTGAGCATATATATATATACATGGTTACCTATGAATAAGATCACCTATGAATAACTACTCTAGTTATATCTCTAGTTATTTTCTTCTTCATTATTTATACGGGAACAGGTTGAGGCCTCTGACTCCTGCCTCGGCACTTATGGGGTCTCCCACCCACAGCTTGCAATTGTAGGGAACTAAAAAATGGTCAGTGCAGCTCAGTTATAGGGAGGAGAAAGATAAGTACAGTTTTAGAGGTGTGTCAAATTTAAGATGGTAGGACATCTGGGTGGGGATACTGGCTCATGTTTGGAAATTCTCTGTCTACTCCTGTTCTACTCTGAAATACCTTTTTGATTCCATGGCAAAATTTTTCATCATAATTATTACTCTCATTTAAAACAGACTTAATAATTATGGGTATCAGTGGGAGGGTAGGGCTGTTGGGCCTCACTGGGTCATGGGGTGTCCCTTATGCTGTGCTGAAGTGCAGGATCTGGGAAGTAAAGAGACAGGACACCGAAGAACTGGTGAAGAGCAGCAGACTCGGGGGGCCACACCACCTATGAGCGGAGATCAGCGAGGCCCAGAATGCCCAGAAGCATCTGTATTTATTAGGTACAAGCAGGGGGTAGGGTGGTAAGTGAGGTCATCATCTATAGGCTTAGTAATAGGGCATACATAATCACATGAGTCACAAGCAAGGGGGCCACCCCATTATGTCACCTGGGCAGAGAGGTGGGCCATGTGCGATGGGGGGCCGTGCCATGTGCAATAGCAGAGGGTTGTGTACAGAAAAGGGGTCCACCCCCATTAGGTCACTGAGGCAAGGAGGTGGGCTGTGTGCAACAGGTGTCGTGCGCAACACTTCGTATCTGGGGGCTGGAGACTTCAAAGGATTTCTTTATTTACTTCTTTTTTTTTTTTTTAAAGCCTACGGCACCCGGTGTTCCCAGGCGGTCTCCCATCCAAGTACTAACCAGGCCCAACCCTGCTTTGCTTCCAAGATCTGACGAGATAGGGCGCGTTCAGGGTTTGTTTGTTTTTTTAAAGATGGGGTTTCACCATAATGGCCAGGCTGGTCTTGAACTCCTGACCTCAGGTGATCCATCCACCTTGGCCTCCCAAAGTGCTAGGATTACAGGCGTGAGCCACCACGCCCAGCCAAGATTTCTAATAGAAGGGTACTTGTAAGCCAATGCAGTGGGAGCTGACAGACTTGTGCTCTTAAGATATTTATGCTAGGATGATTTGAGCCAGCACAGGGGCGAGAAAAGGCTGACAGGGTGTACAGCCGCCCTGACTGGTCACACCAGAGGGGTTCTTCTCCCTCAGTTATTTCCAGGATCTCAGGCCTGAGGCCTGCTTTCCACAGGAACTGGATGCAAGGTACTACAGCTCCTTTATCAGGAGGAGAGGCTCTTGCTCCAAGCCTGCCATACAGCATATGCCCTTTCAGGCAGGGACGCCACCACCTGGGTCTTTGGTTCTTGTCCTGGCCTGGCTGTTTTCCCAAATACTGCTTCTGTTTTGTGACTGCTGTAGGCATTCCTCCTACTACAAACTACTATATGGTTATATAGAAGGATTCTATAAATCAGCACTAAATGTGTCGGTACAGCTCCGACTGCAATACCTATATGATTATATGGAAAGATTATATGGAAGTAAGTATGATTATGTATATAAGCTAGATGTAGTAAGCAGTAAGTTATTATCTGATTATATAGAAAGACTATAGGACTTAGTATGGTGAGATATATAAGCTAGATATAGTAAGCAGTGAGTTACACTTCAGGCACTAATCGTGCCTGGGTCTGCACAGTTCTTCCTCGGTGCCCTGGGGGGTGTCACCCGCATGGGAGCATGTGATTGCAAAAGCAGAAGGGGCTGAGGGGCCTGGCAGGTGCCCTGCTGAGCAGTCAGAAGTGACCCTTAGTCTAGACTAGGCTTCCAGCCAAGACTCGATGGTGTTGTTGCAAAGGTCGCTTTATCCCCAGGAGCAACCAGAATTGCCTGCAGACAAAGCAATCATGGGCTGATATAAATAACACGCCACTGTTTTTTCTTTTAATGTTTGGAGATACTGTTGAGAGTAATAATCATTTATTGCAGAACTCACACCTCCTTTAGGTCACAATTTCTTCCAAAATTACAGCTACTAGTAAGCTGGGTTCACATGTTTTACTGATATTAGAAAAACATCTTCTGAGGGGGGGTGGGGAGTTGGTGAGAGAGAGAGCATGGGGAGAAATGCCAGATATAGGATGTAGGTGCTGGGGAGGAAGGCAGCAAATCACACCGCCATGTGTGTACCTATGCAACAATCTTGCATGTTCTTCACATGTACCCTAAAATCTAAAATGCAATTTTAAAAAAAAATCTTCCGGCAGGGCTTGGTGGCTCACACCTGTAATCCCGGCACTTTGGGAGGTGGGTGGATCACTTGAGGTCAGGAGTTGGAGACCAGCCTGGCCAACATGGCGAAACCCCATCTCTATTAAAAATACAAAAATTAGCTGGGTGTGGTGGCAGGTGCCTGTAATTCCAGGTACTTGGTGTCAGGTCTCCACATGCAAGCCTGGAGCCTGAAAGTCTGAAGTCCTGCTCTCCTCGGCTTAAGTCTCCCACCACCCCCGCCACCTCCCCCACCCCGCCGCCTGCATTCGCCATTGTCCCTGAGCTTCCCCAGACAAGCCCCTCACCCAACCCTGCCATCTTAACTGTTCTTCTAATAATGCAAATACCTCTCACCCAATCCCAGCACAGGAACTAAATTTACTCTGCAACACCCCCTCCCCGCAAAAAACTACCCAAACCTATAAAACCAACTCCTAGCCCACCTGCACGCAGTTGAATAAACAGCCATGTTGCTCATACAAAGCCTGTTTGGAAGGTGTTTTCATTCAAAGCGCACGTTTTTCAACACTTGGGAGACTGAGGCAGGAGAATCGCTTGAACCCAGGAGGCAGAGGTTGCAGTGAGCCAAGATTGCGCCATTGCACTCCAGCCTGCGTGACAAGAGTGAAACTCCATGAAAGAAGGAAGGAAGGAAGGAAAGAGAGAGAGAGGGAGAGAGAGAGAAAGAAAGGAAGGAAGGAAGAGAAAAGAAAAGGAAAGAAAAGAAAGTGTGAGGGACAAGCTGCGCAAGCTGACCGCTCCCCCCGCCCTGCCCTGGATTGCTCTGCCGCTGCATTCCTGAACCCCTACCTAGACCACAGCAAGGCTGCCCCACGTGCTACAGCTAAGCAAAGCCTGATTACAGCCACCCGGGCAGCTGGAGGGAGGACAGGGAGAACAATGTTGGTTATCCATATTGTAAATTCCTGTTTGACACAGATCTGTAAAAAGATCCTGAGTTTTCTCTTTTTTTGAAAAAAGACTGCAGCCACAAAAGTCACAGGATGATGTATTGTCAGTCTGTTACAAGCTGACAAACTCTGTGCTTGTTACCAGTAGACAGATGACCTCAGTCCTGAAACTCCCTTATGCCCCTCTCACCCCATATAAACCCCTCGTTTTGAAAGCCCGGGCCTGCCTCTTCTGTTACGGAGCAGCCCAGCAGGTTAATAAAAGTTGCTTGCCTGACTTAGGGTCTATTCTCCTTTCTCTAGGCTACCCTTGAAAGAAACAAAAGAAAAAGGAAGAAAGAGAGAGAGAGAGAAAGGAAGGGAGGGAGAGAGAGAAAAGAGAGAAAGAAATAAGGAAAGAAAAGAGAAAGAAAAAGAAAGAAGAGAGGAAAGAAAGAAAAAGGAAAGGAAGGTGGGAGGGAGGAAGGGAAGGAAGGAAGGAAAGGGAAAGAAAGAAGGAAAGAAGGAGGAAAAGAAAGAAAAAGAAGGAAAGAAAGAGGAAAGGAAGGAAAGAGGGAAGGAAGGAAGGAAAGAAAGAGAAAAGAAAGAGAGAGGAAGGAAGGAGGGAAGAAAGAAAGAAAGGAAAAGAAGGAGGAACAAGATATCTTCCCATCGGCAAATTGGATCTTAGGAATAAGGCAGACTAAGGGACAGGTGCCTGTCCAGTTGCGGGAAACACATACAGGTAGAGGAGCCATCTAGGGAGAAAAGGCCTGGGGGGAGGCAGAGTTGAAAACACAGGGTGAACAGGTGAGAGGGAGTATTGAATGGGGATCAGATGCCCAAATTCCTAAAGATCCAGGACGGCAGCTGTTAGGGGTTGAAGGGGCGATGGGTGCGGCAGCTGGGCAGTGGAAGTGGTTTGATTTCATCACGTATGAGGAAGCGTGTGGTGCCAACAAATAGCCTCTACTCACATTTGTAGGGGTGGACATGAGTAAGCATGATGAAGGACCAGGAGGAGAATCTGAGGCACAAGGAGAGGGTAGCCAAGGATGAGGTGAGGTGAGGGAAGGTGTTTGCCTAAGCGGTAATGGCTGTTAATGTTTTTGGGAGTATCAGTAGTGATAGAGGGTCTGTCAGTAAAGCGGAGTAGCTATGCCCCCACAGGCATGTTAATATGTGTGTCGGGACTTTGGAATGAAGGGTAAAAGCGCATTTAGAAGGTGAAAGGCTACCTAAGGGGATTCCAGTGGTTCTTTTTTTTTTTTTTGAGACGGAGTTTCGCTCTTGTTACCCAGGCTGGAGTGCAATGGCGTGATCTCGGCTCACCGCAACCCCGTCTCCTGGGTTCAAGCAATTCCTCTGCCTCAGCCTCCTGAGTAGCTGGGACTACAGGCGTGCGCCACCATGCCTAGCTAATTTTTGTATTTTTAGTAGAGATGGGGTTTCACCATGTTGACCGGATGGTCTCGATCTCTTGACCTTGTGATCCACCCATCTCGGCCTCCCAAAGTGCTGGGATTACAGGCGTAAGCCACCGCGCCCAGCCACTCCAGTGGTTCTTTGATGGGAAATGCGTAGAGGGGCAGGAGTGGAGAGAGTTGTTTGTGCAGTGAGGGGTCCCAGCGTGGGCGGAGTGGAGTCGATGGGAGGTGAGAGTTGCTGTAAATAGGTGCAAAGGAGCGAAGCAGCTTGTTGGTATGAAACATCTGAAGAGGTCCTGCCGAGTCTGTTTAAAAAGTAAAGGAGCTCTGTAGGAGGTAGAGGCAGGGACTGTCAAAAGAGGTACGCAGATGTAGGGACAGGAGAGGCAGCCCAATCAGCCCGCAAGGCAGGAACAGTGGTGTAAGGGGAGGAAGGGGAAGTACAGAGCCAGCAGTTTTTTGCCAATGATGGGCTGGCCTCATTGAGGAGGGAATGTCAGATTGATAGTATGTAATGACTAGGAAGGGTAGAGCGACAGAACGGGACTGAGAATAAGACTGAGTACAAAAGTTAAAAAAAAGAACTTCATTGGGGGAAAGAATTGGAGTGCTCCTTGCCACACATTGTCATCTATCCACTCTAGAAAGGACTTAAGGGTGGTGTCTCTTGGGTAGAACCAGGAGATGCCAATTAGGAGGGCTTGCAGGAAGAGTGAGAACCTACAGTGCAAACACATGCAGGGCATTTAGGGTCTGGGATTGCTCTTCAGGGATTCAAGTGAGCCTGAGGGAAGTGGGGGAGACTACTTGCGACTTCCAAGAGGAGGTGGGCTGGCTAAGCTGGTCATCTGGTGGGTACAGTTTACTCCTGGAGCTGTGACCCCAGTGGGGAGGGTCTTGCAGGCGGACATCAGTTGGGGCACTGTCGAAAACCAGGTAAGGACCTCTCCACTGAGGCTGCAGAGCTGAGGTGGGTTAAGTCCTTGACCAGTACTGATCGTCCGGCTAAGATGTCCTCGTACGGCCGGGTGTCTGGAGCGGGTAAGAGATTAGCAGCTCGGCGAAGTTCCTGCCTCGTTTGCTGGAGAACTGGAAGATCGTCTCCAAGAGGGCTGGGGTCTGGAAGGAGGTTGGACCCGAGTAGAAAGGTGCAGCCATACAGAAGATCAAAGGGGCTACACCCGGTGGGTTCCTGGGGAGTGGCATGAATTCAGAGAAGAGCGATAGGCACAAGAGACACCCAGTCCTTTTTTAGTTGAAGGGTGAGTTTAGTAAGATGTGTTTTTAGAATGCCATTAGCTTTTTTCTACTTTCCCTGAGGCTGAGGGTGGTAAGGGGCATGGAGATTCCATTGAATGCTCAGGGCCTGCGAGACTGCTTGGGTGATTTGGCTAATGAAAGCAGGGCCATGATCTGACTGCATGGAAGTAGACAGGCCAAACCGGGGGATGATATCGTTTGATAGACAAGAAATAGCCGCAGTAGCCTTTTCTGTTCCAGTAGGGAAGGCTTCAATGCACCCTGTGAAGGTATCCACCCATACAGGAAGATATTTAAATTTTTTGACACGGGGCATATGAGTAAAGTCAATTTGCCTGTCTTGTCTGGGAGCACATCCTCGCACTTGATGGGGAGGAAATGGAGGAGGTCTTAGAAATCCTTGGTGGTTGGTAGAGTGACAGACAGAGCACTGCGATTGATTAAGAGGGGAAGAGGTGAGAGGTTCCCAGAGACGGGCTGAAGGCTTGTATCCTACATGAAAGTGGTGATGAAAGGAAGAGAGGATGGAATGAGCTTGCGAGGCAGGAAGAAGGAATCTTCCGTCATCTAAAAACCAATCACCTTGAGTGGGGAGGGACTGATACTTTAATGATTCCAAGGTCTAATAAAGAGGATTAATTGATGAAAAAGAAAAATACTGTCCACTAGGTGGGGATAGCGGTGCGTTGGCTGCTGTCCTAGCTGCCTCCTCTGCTAGTGCACCTCTTTGAGCAATGGGATCTGAAGTTTTTTGGTGCCCTTTACAGTGGACAACCCCAGCCTTAGCTGGGAGAAGGGCAGCTTTAAGGAGGCCTTTATTAAAGAAGCCTTGATAATGGAAGATACTTGTGTAGTGAGAAAACCTCTTTCTGCCCATGTGACAGCGTGGTGATAGAGGATGTGGAAGGCATGTTTGGAATCAGTATAGATATTTCCTCTGAGCCCTTTGGCCAGGGTAAGAGCATGTGTGCATGCTATTAATTCAGCCTGTTGAGAAGTAGCAGATGGAGGGAGAGTGGCAGCTTCACTGATAGAGGTATGGGAAACAACAGCGTAGCCAGCCTTTCCTGGAGAGGACTGCTTAGGTTTGGAAGAGCTGCCATCCATAAACCATGTGTGATCAGAGTCTGGAACAGGGAAAGAGAGGTGTGGGGAAAAGGGGAAACGGCAGTATGTATTAGAGAGATGCAGTTATGCGGTGCAGGAGTGGCGTTCATGTTTGGTATTAGTGAGAGGCTGGATTCAAATCGGGGCCATGTGCAGAAGTCACAGCGGGAGTTTCAGTAAAGAGCGAACAGAGGTGGACCAGACGTGGGCAGATGGCAGCTGTGGAAGGTGAGAAGAGGATGCTAGAGTCTGGAGACCGTGGGAAGTGTATAAAGTCAGTGAAGCTGAGCCTGAGATTTTGAAAGTTTCCAGAAGAACTGGAGCGGCTGCCGCGGTGGTCCACACACACTGGGGCCAGCCTCGGACGGTGAGGTCCAGTTGTCTAGAGAGGAAAGAACAGGGCACGGACCTGGCTCTTGTGTAAGAACTCCACCTTCACAGCCCTGGATTTCAGCAGTACCTAATGAAAAGGGTTGAGACAAACTGGGGAGGGCTACAGTAGGGGCCGTTTTCAGAGCTGTCTTTAAGGAGCAAAGGGAGGAGTGAGGAAAGGATTTAGAATCAATAGGGTCCGATTAGTTTCCTTTACTGAGTTTATACAATGGCTTAGTTAGAAGAGCAAAACCTGGTATCCAGAGGCGAAAGTACAACCACACCCAGGAAGGAGAGAAGCTGTTATTTGGCAGAGGGGTGGGGTGTCAGAGAGTAGCTGGACCCGATCGCTAGGGAGAGCGCGGGTGAGGATGATGCCCAGATAGGTGACAGACGTGGAAGAAATGTGGGCCAAACCCCCGGAGTGCTCCTAACAACACTCCTATCTTGCCTGTCCAAAACCGGACAAGTCTTAGCGGCTGGTTCAGGACCTCCGCCTTATCAATCAAGTTGTCCTTGATACCCAACCAGCCACAACTCCCTCAGGGTTTCGGGGACAGCCCACACAACCTGAGTTAGGCCCTTGCTCACGATTCACTCTCTTGCTGCCCCTCGTCTTTCTACCTTATTCAAATTTGGGACTTAGAAGGTGGCCCTCGTTATCCTTGATTGATCCAGAATGGAGGGGCTTTAGGGGCCCTAGTGCGCCCCTCCAGTGCTGCTGTATTGTTCAACAGAAGCCCCTAGCTCATGCAGCTGTTTAAACGTACATTAGTTAAATGAATTCAATTTCCCGTAAATCTAAATTAAACCAGTTCCCTAGTTGCAGTAGCTACACTCAGGTGCAGCTCAGTAGCCAAAAGTAAGTACTTTACTGGGCCATGCCAACAGAGAACATTGCCATCATCACAGAAAGTCCTAGAGGACAGTGCTATGCAGACACTATTCCCAGCCACGGGCAGTGGGGCAGATCCTTGACGTCAGCCTGGATCTCGCCAGCTTCCTCCCTGCTCCCTACACCCAGCAGCCTCTGGCTGGGGCCTGCCTCCCCCAAGAGAAACAGTCTGAGGCCGTTCTGCCATCTGCAGCCTTCTCCTGACACATGCCCTAATCTCAGCGACAGCTTCATTCAGCAGTTATTCATGGGGCATCTCCTGTGTACCAAAAAGGCCACTAGGGCTATGGTGATAAATTAGACGGAGTTCCCAGCCTAAAGAAGCATACGTTCTAGAGAGAGGAGCAAACGAACAAAGCTTGATAACAGCAAGGAAACAAAACACGGTAACCGCGTGCAAAGTGGGGGCGATTCGGCTGAGTGGTCAGGGAAGCCCTGCCTGGGGAGGGGACATTTCCGCTGATTTCTAAGTGGGAGAAGATCTGGGAATGCACATTCCAGGCAACAGGAACACCCAGTAGAAAGACCTTAAGGTGGGAATGAGCTTGTCAAGTTTGAAGGAAAAAAGACCTTTGTGGCAGGGCCATGGCAGGCGGAGGGAGAGGGCTGGGAAATCTGGACAGAAAGGCAGGAACCAGGCTGTGTGGTGCTGGAGGTGGGGCCAGCAGGCAGGTTAACTGTATTCTTAGATCTGCAGTGTGGTTTCCAGGAAGGAGCTGACATGATCTTGTGCAGGGACACCAGCCCATATCCAGCTGCAATTTCCTGGCTCCCCCCACCCAAACACCAGCTTCCCGGGCCTGCAGGTATCTGTGGCTGCTCTCTGCTAAGCTCATGTGACATGCAGCAGAGAGGCAGGGACTAAGTCAGTCATGCCAGGATGCAATAAAACCTCAAGGTCACTAAAAGGCTGAGACGCATGAGACCACAGAGCCTGACTTTTGAGGACTTGAGCCCACGTTTAAATGACGAAACAGTTTTGGTGTCTGTGGAGAAATCAGGGGACACCTTGCCTCCCTGCCATCTTAGTTAAGCACATGACGTATCAAGCTGAATGAAAACACAAAAGTACTTTTGCAACCTGAGATGGATCAAAGTGAGCAAGCACACCCACTCTAACATCAGCACCTGCCACACCGAGAGCCAGGCTCTAGCCCGTGCTGAGGTCCCAGGGGAGTGGGTGGATGGTGGCAGGTAGCTGAAAGAACACTCGGGGGTGTAGGCAGATGAGGTATGGTTTTCTTCCGCAGCTCTCTTACGCTATCTCTGTCTTGGCTGCCTGCTCCGGCTCTGCGGCTCCTGCGGCTCCCACGCCGCAGCTGCATTCCCTGGCCTGCAAGGCCGGCTCTCTCCTACAGGGGCAGAAACTTCACTGTCTCTCTTTGGCCACGAGCTGTATGCACAGCATCAGCAGGGCAGTTACACCTCTTGCAAACAGCAGTGGCTCTGAGCCAGGTGACGAACCTTCCCACACTACGGCTACACAGCTGTGATTATATAACAAGCAGAGTAGACGCCCTCCAGTTCATGTCAGTCCAGAAAGCGTAACATGTGAGGTCACCACACTGGGTATCTGGAGTGAGACAGGGACTTCGCCTTAAAGAGCTCAGTTTAGTGGGAGGCGGTTATGAAAACATATCCTTTCATGATGTGGAGCAATGCCTGGAGTGCTATGGAAACCCAGAGAGAGTCCTGGAATGTGTGTGTTTCAGGCGTTGGGGGGAGTGGTGATATGTATGTCTATGCATGTCCAGTTAGGGAAGCCGGATGTGCTTCTATGGGCAGTAAAAGCTACTGAAGATTTTAAGCAGAAGAGACAAGACCAGATTTCCTTCTGACAATCACCAAGGGCGGTGTATGGGACAGATCAGACTGTGACACTAGAGGCAGGGAAATCCAGGAGGAAGGTTAATACAATAGCCCAGGAAAAATAAGAGCAGTGGTAGAGGGCTACAAACAACAGAGCTCATACATATGCAAAAGCCACAGGGTTCTGCTTTGGTGACTCGGTAGGGGAAACCGCAAGAAGCAGGGCTATACACAGGGGTGGGGACAGGTCGGGGAAGTTCCACTAAATGACCTCAACATTGGCAAAATAAATCTCAAAATTGATTGAGATCTGCCTCACTTGTTGGTTTACCTATGTGATGACCTTTGCAGAGAGGAGAATCAAGGAAGAAGGACTTTATTCTACCAGAACAAACTACTGTTAAAGCAGAAAATGAGCGCGGAAAAACAAATTTCTCTTCTTCTCTGTAGTGTGAGTAAAACTTCCCTGACTCCTTCCCCTCCCTGAGAAACTGTATCCTGTTTGCAAGTTTTGTAAGTTTAGAGATTCATGTATCCTTGCTCTCTATAGCTGATAAATGAAAGTTATTGTTTTTCACCTGAGCAGCACAGGTCACTGTGACATGTCTCGGCAGGCCTGGATTGCAGTCACCCAGGCCCCACAGTGAAGCACGCAGGATAAGCCGTGCAAGGGAAAGACAGTGGCCATCTGCGCCACATAGCACAAGTCATACGTAAGCCTAAGTTGTAAACTTGTCATTTTTTATAAACTGCCTTTGTTCTGCTCCTGCCTTTCATGTATAAAAGTCAAGCTTGGTCTTAGTTCAGTGCCCAGTCTTTTGGATGTGAATCCACTGAGCGGGTGCACACCTTAATAAAATCCTCCTGTTCTACCCATCCGTCTCTCTGGTCTCCTAATTTCCCATGACACTATAACCTAGGGAACTACTTTGTTTTATTTTGTGTCCTTTATTTGGACAGCCAGATCTTTTGAGGTCAGGATTCCCACAAAGGATCTTCAAAAGTTGGTACTCTTTAACTCAGTTGCCAATGGGTCCTCTCTTACCACCACCTTCCTTTAGAGATGGACAGAGCTTTAGAGAATAACTAGCTTCCCTCTCTGTGACCTCTGAACCCTGTTTGTGCTCTGTAACTGGAGAGCAAGCCCAATCCAGTTCAACGTTGTGTAATAAAATGGCAAGCTGTTTTTCAGTGGCCGTGAACTCCCAGGTCACATAACCTGAGCATGCCCAGATGAACTCAGTGTGCCGGATTTGTAAACCTGGGGCCAACAGGAACTAAAAAGTCAACACAGGCAGAACCAAAGCGTTCAGATCTAGAAACAGGGACCAAATTATGAAGCAAGCCCCGAATCACCTCGCTGCAAGATCCAGTCAGATCATGCCTCATTACCCTCTGCATACAAACGCTGCTCCAGCCCCAGCCCCAGAGACAGAGTTGAGCATTGCCTCCTGACTCCTAACCAGTCAGCTCACAGTGGTTCCTCTTCTCAAGGCCAGGGCCATAGTGTTTCCTTCTACGCATGTCGAAGGCCAAGCCTATTGCCCCGTAGCATTGACTGCTGCCACATTTCACATTCCACAGTCATTGTTTTGTTTATCCCTCTGCCTCTATTGCCAGCCTGAAAGCTTCTCAAGGGTAGGGGCTTGTTTAGCCCTGCACCCTCAGCTTAGCCCAGGTCCTCACACACGTGGGCAGCTTAGCAAGAGTCGTAATTCTTGGCCCTTTGGCTGCCCTAACCAGGCTAAATACCTTTGGCCAGTGTTGGGGTTGAACTGTGACCCTAAAAGATGTGGTGAGGTGCTAACCCCTGGCAACTGTGACCTTATTTGTTAATGGGGTTTTGCAGATGTAATCAAGTTAAAACGAGCTCATACTGGACTAGGGTTGTCCCTAATTCACTGTGAATGGTGCCCTTATTAGAAGAGGAAAAGAGATTCAGAGAAACACCACCACATAACCACGGAGGCAGAGACTGAAGTGCTGGAGGCACAGGTCAAGGAATGCCAACGATTGCTGGCAACCACACAAACTAGGAGAGAGGAATGGATTCTCAGAGCCTTCAGAACTAGGAGAGAATAAGTGTGTGCTGTTTTAAGCCACTGGGTTTATGGTAATTTTCAATGGAAGCCCTAGAAAACTAACTTGGACAGCCTAAAAAGCAACTACTGTATGTGATCAAACAGTAAGGCGGGCAGGTGTGTCTGTGAGGACATATCTCATTTACCTTTTACTTAATTCCACCGACATTTGGTCTGTGCTCTTCTCTCTAATAAATCACATGATCTGAGTTAATTTTCACTTCTCTAACTCTGACAGAGATCCATTAGGGAAAGGCAAAATCCCAGTGAAGGGATTAATGTACAAAAATAATTAAGAATATTGGGGTTATGGGAGGCTGAGGTGGGTGGATCACGAGGTGAAGAGATTGAGACCATCCTAGTCAACATGGTGAAACCCCGTCTCTACTAAAAATGCAAAAAATTAGCCGGACATGGTGGCATGCCTGTAATCCCAGCTACTTGGGAGGCTGAGACAGGAGAATTGCTTGAACCCAGAAGGCAGAGGCTGCCGTGAGCCGAGAATGTGCCATTGCACTCCAGCCTGGGCAACAAGAGTGAAACTCTGTCTCAAAAAAACCCAAAAAAAACAAAAAAAGAATATTGGAGGTTTTTGGATTTCACTAGAGATTCTGCAGACCAGCTGCTGATGATGTTGGACTAAATTGGCAGGATCCAACGTTCTCTGTTCCTCCTAGGGACATGAAGGTGCCAGGTGCCACGTGACCTTCAAACCTCATGGGATAACATTACCTCATTCTTATGAAACAGTCACGGCTGTGCTCAGACTTAGGAAGGCACTGGCTGTAAGGCTCCCACTAAAAGCAAACCAGAACCCCAGTGGAGAAAAGTGAGCTTTCATACGAGGACTCATCTTGAACTTTCACAAACCTAGGCTCCCTGACTTTTACCAGTAATCAGTGTCTCGAGTGTTCCTCATGTAAAGAGGCCACCAGGCAGGCACTGTGTGGGCAACAAGGTCGTTCACTTCGCACTTGGGTGCAAGCCGGCCAAGTCCGAGAAAGGAGTTAGGCCAAGGAAGTCGGAGAGGGGATTGGTTATACAGGTTGGGGCTAAAGGTGGTTATCTATCTTAGGGAGGGGAAGGGCGTCAGGGGATGCAGGGTCACAAGGGTAGGGGTCATTTATTACAAACAGGCATGATCATAAGGTGCGGAGGAGTATCGGTTGCAGTCCCCGCCCTCATGATCATGCCTGTTTGTAATAAATGGTGAGAGGGCGGTAGATTACATAGTTACAGGGGTGGGAGTCTTGACAAACCCAGTGTCCCGGGGGAAATTTTTGCAAGGCTGAACAGGAACAATGGGTGCAGCTTACAGAGCGATTACTTGAGGCAGGAACAAGTTTTCACTTCTTTCTGTGGGCACGGGATTACTTGTTCCCAGACTTTCTGGCTCCTAGGGACCATCCAGAGGTGTACGTGCAGGTCACCAAGGCTACGACGGCCAGGCTTGGATGTGGAGACCTAACAGTCGGTACTGAGGACAATGGCTTCCAGACGCACCTGCTGGCTGTCTGAGTCTATAATACACCACCTCCAGAATTCTCTCAAAGCAGTTCAGATCATGTTACGATCAGGCAGCAATGCCCCTTGGGTGGATCCCCAGGGAATAAAACAATCGTCAAACTCCTCATCCGCAGACTCCAAGCCGAAGCCCTGCAGGGAAACCAAAAGCAGGAAAGGAGGTCCCCTCGAGCCACTCTCATTTCCGGTCCCAGCACCCCGCCCCATGACGTCAACGCACCGCGCCACAGGGCTGCATCATCTCGGCGCGCCGCTACCGGGGCTCTACACTTGCCGGGTGCCATGGCGGAGGTGGGTCGGGCGGCGATCAACGACCCAGGCGCGCTGCTCCCAAGGGGCTTCTGGGCTGCGGTGGAGGTGTGGCTGGAAAGGCCGCAGGTGGCCAACAAACGGCTGTGCGGCGCCCGCTTGGAGGCCCGCCGGAGTGCCGCCCTGCCCAGCGCCGAGGCCTGCGGCCCCGGGACGAGCGCAGGCCCGGAGCTGAAGGAGCAGGGTCCGGGACCCGGCCAGGGTTTCCCCGGAGGGGGCCCGGGCCCCAGGCTGCCATCAGGACCCAAGCAGGGCACCGCGTGTTGCGAAAGTGAGGAGGCCCAGCGCCAGTGCCAGCAAGAGGAGGCACAGAGGGAAGCCGCCTCAGCGCTCCTGCGAGACCCCGGGCACTCTGGCCATGCTGAAGGAGGGGAGGACGACCTCCCCACCGCGGATCTGGATTCGCTCTGGGACGATTTCTCCCGAAGTCTCGCCCATGGCAATTCGAAGCTGCTGGCCTTCCTCACCTGCTCCGGGGCGGGATCGCAGCCAGAGGCGCAGCGTGAGCTCGACGTGGTTCTCAGAACCGTCATCCCGAAAACTAGCCCTCATTGCCCGATTACAGCTCCCAGGAGGGAAATAGTTGTACAAGGTAAGAGTGTTTTGATAGTAGACGGATACGATTAGATTAAAAAGCATTCGTGGAACCGCGGGTCAATGAAAAGATCCTAAGGGTACCTGTTATGCCAGTTCCTCTGCGATGTCCTAGGGAGGTTGTTAGGTGTGTGTGTGTGTGAGTGGGCGCGTAGAAATCTGTGTCATTAGTACAGAAGATGGGATAATTGATTGGGGTGGTGTCTGGAAGGCTTCAGGGAGACAGTGAAGGACCAGCTGGATATTGCATGATAACCAGGAGTTTAGCAGGTCCAGCTGTAGGTGTAAAGGGAGCTATTTATGCTGAGACAGGTAGCTGTGAAAGAGAATAGAGACTGGCTGGATGGGAACCTACTAGTCCTCGGTATTTGTTAAATCTCTGGCATTTATTTTTACTGCCCGTGACATTGACACTTCAGCCTTAGCCACTTCTTACCTCAAACTTTATTCAGCAGTCTGTGTTTTCTATTGCCACTGTAACAAATTACTGCAAATTTAATGGTCACAACAAAAAGTTAATCTCCCTCAATTCTGTAGGTCAGGAATCCCTGTTGGCTCTGCTGGTTTCTGAGCGTCTCTCTCACAAGGCCAAAATCAAAGAGCCTGCCGGCTGGGCTGTTACCTGGAGGTTCTGGGAAGGAATCTGTTCCCAGGCTCGTTCGCCTTGTTGGTAGAACTCAATTTTTTTTATGTAGGCCCGGGGCCCTCCTTCCCTTGCTGGCTGTCAGTTCCTAGAGGCCTCTCTCTGGTTCTTTCATGCAGCTTCTGACATCTCAGAGCCAGCAATGGGGTTGATCCTTCTCACGCTTAGAATCTCTCTGTCTTCCTCTTGCTGCTTCTCTTCTCCTTCTCCAGCTGGAGAAAATTCTCTGCTATTCATGACCCATGGAGTTAGACTGGGCCCACCCAGATAATCCAGAGTACACCCTCTTGAGATCTGTAACCATAATCATGTTTGCAAAGTGTCCCTTTTGCCACATAATACAGTATATTCACAAGTCCTGGGTGTTAGGGCATGGACACTTTTGGGAGGCTCTGGTGCCTACCTCAGGCAGCAATTGCTGGTAGGTACGTAGTCCTCTCTGACAGCTCCCAGCACTGTCTGCCTCTGTGCCTTTGTAAGGCTCTGGGTGTCCCTTCCTCCAGGGGATCTCTCTGACCCTGCCAGTCCAGTCTAGTTTAGGAGTTCTTCCAGCTCTTCTTATCAATTGTGTTCTAATCTCTTTTTTTTTTTTTGAGACGGAGTTTCCCTCTTGTTACCCAGGCTGGAGTGCAATGGCGCCATCTCGGCTCACCGCAACCTCCGTCTCCTGGGTTCAGGCAATTCTCCTGCCTCAGCCTCCTGAGTAGCTGGGATTACAGGC